CCAACATCCCACAGCCCCCCTACACCCCCTTATGTCCCCCACAGGCCCCCCAACATCCCACAGCCCCTTAGCCCCTATAGCTGCCCACACCCCCACAACCCCCCCAACATCCCACAGCTCCCCTATACTCCCTTATGTCCCCCACAGACCCTCTATAGCCCCCCATTCCCCCACAGGCCCCCCAACATCCCACAGCCCCTTAGCCCCCCACAGGCTCCCTACAGCCCTCAATAGGCCTCCACACCCCCTTAGGCCCCCACAGCCCCCGGCACCCCCAGGGTCGGCCCCGCCCACTCTCACCAAGTTGCCCTTGGGCCCAGACGCGCCGTCCATGCCGCTCACGCCCTGCGGGGGGAGGGGAGAGCGTCAGTGGGGGGCAGCAAACACATGGGGAGGGGGACAATAGACAGGACTCGTACCGGCTGTCCTGGTAGGCCGGGGGGGCCACGGGAGCCGACCAACCCGCGCACGCCCTACGGCCGAAGAAAGAGACGTTAGACTGCCTGAGAGTACCAGCCCCTCCATGCCCCCAACCCCACCAGAGCCCATTGCCTCCCACACCCAGGAAGGGAACCCAGGAGTCCTGCCCCCCCGGCCCCTCTGCTCTAACCCCTAGACCCCACTCCCCTCCCAGAGCCGTGGAGCGAACCCAGGAGTCTTGGCTCCCAGCCCTCCCTGCTCTAACCCCTAACCCCCACCCCCTCCGAGCCGTGGAGCGAACCCAGGAGTCCTGGCTCCCAGCCCCCCTGCTCTAACCCCTAGCCCCCACCCCCCTCTCACAGCCAGAGAGGGAACCCAGGAGTCCTGCCCCCAGCTCCGCTTGTCCAGTGTGGGGTACTCACGGGCTCCCCGGGCTGCCCCCTGGGTCCTGGCAGGCCGCCCGAGCCCTAGGAAAGAGAGAGCAGAGCTGAGGGGGGGTCGCGCTGGGTCCAGCAGCACCCGTGCCCCCTTCCCCGCCTGGGGCCCTTACCTTGGCTCCGTTCTCTCCTGGGGGGCCCGGGGGGCCCAGCTTCCCCACGTCTCCCTGTGGGAGAGAGAGCGAGAGGTGAGGCCTGTGGGGCCCGGGG